ACCGATATATACATATATAGATATAAAGAGACTGAAATAGACAGATATATAGATATGAACAGATTGAAATAGATAGATAGATAGATAGATAGATAGATAGATAGATAGATAGATAGATAGATAATAAACAGACTGAAATAGATAAATAGATATGAAGAAGCTGAAATAGATAGATAGTTAGATATGAAGAGACTGAAAGACAGATATATAAATATATAGATATGAAGTGACTGAAATAGACAGATATATAGATATATAGATATGAACAGATTGAAATAGATAGATAGATAGATAGATAGATAGATAGATAGATAGATAGATAGATCGATCGATCTATCTCTTGTTTATGACAATGGAAGTTAACTATGAATTTCACCGAATCTCAAGATACAAAAACGGAGAGATCGGCTGACATTTATTTCGTGTGCACCTAACAAAATCTTTTACGTTTTATAGTAAATTAGTAAACCTATGTTTTATTGCCAAAATGTTCGCATAAAAATGCCAAGTTTGGCAGACGGACGAATAGAATAGTCAGAGGTCTTTTACAATTAAACTTTGCTGTTTTAGTCTTTGTCTAAATTCTTCGTACTTATTTTTTTTCCCCCGGACAAACCGGGTTGCACTTGTTCTCCTCGTTCTCTGCCAATGCTTTTATTCTGATGTTATTAGTTTTATTCGCTGTTGTTGTTTTTTAGTTCGTTTCACTAATGGCAGCAATGTAGAGAACAATAAGTGCAAATTGTACTCTACATTATAAATAAGATCTTCCTTCAATTAAATTACTCGGATTTTGAATTTATTTAACAACTGATTGAAATCTTCTGCCCTGGGAGAACTGTATCTTGCTCCATTATAATGCACAAACGCCATCTTGTTAAAATTTTCAAATGAAAATAAAATAAAATTAAAAAAAAATATTTGTAATCGCAATTTAGTTTTCCTCTCTCTCTTTATCTCTCTCTCTCTTTATCTCTCTCTCTCTTTATCTCTCTCTCTCTCTCTTTATCTCTCTCTCTCTCTCTTTATCTCTCTGTCTTTATCTCTCTCTCTCTCTCTCTTTATCTCTCTGTCTTTATCTCTCTCTCTCTCTCTTTATCTCTCTTGGGTTTTCATAATGGCTAAACGAATATCCGAAAGCACTTTATCAATAATGTTTAGATAATTATTACGTGTGCGGTTAGTCTAACGGATAAAGACTCGGAAATATAAATCTAGAAGCCGAGTTCGAATTCAGGCAGGGTTAATTATGTCCGCATTCACGCAAATACTCTTGGGAAAAGTATAAATCTAATTCCCCCAGCTATGGGCTAAATAGTGCCGCATCTGAGTGGAATCTTGAGGTGATAAACAGACTAGAATTAAAGCTTTGAATTCAAAACCAGCCTGAATAGGATAGATTTCGTCAGATGATCTTGCTCTATACACACCACTACCATAAACGCTGGATATTTTAATATAACATTTTCCCGCACTTTTAGAATTTTGGTGGAAAGGCAAAAAAAAAAAAAAATGAAGATTAATATGGTGGAATTACTCGCAGAAAATATGGAATTAACCTTATGAAAAATAAGAAATTAAGAGTATATGGCATTCTAAATTACCAAGAAACAGGAAAATTTCCTTAGAAACAAACAAAAGAGGGCTGGATTCTATGTAATATCAAACCTCTTGTACAGAAGTGAATGCTGGACAATCTCTCTCTGGATGAAAAAAAAAACTGGAGACAACAGTGATGTGGTTCTACAGAAGGATACTGAGAATTCCATGAACGGAGCGAGTAAGCAACAAGGAAGTCTTAAAGTCAACAGAAAGAACACTTATCCTCTGAATCAAAAAGAGACGGGTGAAATCCCTTGGACATAAAATAAGGAAGGAGGGCTTAGAAAACTTACATGACATATCGATGGCAAGAGAGATGAGGGGAAGGCTGCGGGTCATCTACCTGAGGAGCTTGTGTGAATGGATCGCGGAAATGGGGGAGGGGATACTTGGCAAAAGGAGAAATGCTGCTTAGAGCTACGGGGGATGGGAAGTTGTCGAGAGTTGCGATCGATCAGTCACGTCCTGAATGGACACGGTACATGAAAGAAAAAGAAAGAGAATCGCAAAGGAAAAGGAAATGAAGAGACATATGGAAACAAAATTATAAAGACAAATGAAGAAACTTCATAAACACAAAAGAAGCGAAGTAAATGGTGAGAAAATGTCTTTAAAAAGTAATGAAGGGACATTTATAAGTCTACCTTTCGCCCATACATTGAATATTGCTGCCACATTTGGTCTGATGCTTCTGCTATGTTTTTAGAGGTCTTTGATAAAACAGAAAGAATAATATGCAATGTTATTAGTCCTGATCTGGCATCTCGGCTTCAGTATCTTTCCCACCGTGGAAACGTAGCTTCCCTGCGCCTTCTCCATAAATATTTCTATGGTAATTGTTCAGAGGAACTTTCATCAATGGGGGTTTCATTTTTAAATGTTATCTTTATTTCCCCACTCCGAAGACAAATTGTACATATGGGAACTAGATATAGAGACTTTGAGGTATTATGGTGACTGTAGTAAGAATAGTATATAAGAATGTGCTGTTTTGGTGTAAGGAATACTGTGGTATGTTTGGGTCAGTAATAGCAGTTAGATTAGTTTTAACACAAGTCAGATTAAAGACCAGCCTTATCTCCTATTGTTGAACTTGTGCCACATTTTTGTATTATTCAAAATAAATATTACTTTCCTCAATAGTACCTAGACGTTATGAATTTAAGCGCAGTACTAGATTGGCGGCAAGGTCTCATTTACAGCTGAAATAGCTAGTTATAATCGTACGTTCTGTGCTAACAGTTTCTTCTCGTTAGTGGAAAACTCTTCCGGCTTCTTTTTACTTTCCAATCAACCCTTGATCTTCAAAAATTTAAACGAAGTGCCAGCCATTATCTTTTGTCCTCTTAATTCCTGTTCTCTTATTGTTCTCTCTCCTTAATAATGTTATTGTTTGTGCACATATTCTCTGGCCCATAGTTACCTCCCTTTATTGACTTGTTTGTGGTGAAATGATTGAAGCAAATATGGAACACGCATTATAATGGCGTAAAAGTGACGAAAATGTGGAACTAAAATCCAAAACAAAATGGAACAACGAGAAAGTTCGTAGAAACTTCATAAACATAAAAGAAGCGATTTTTTTTTAGAAAGAAATATAAAAAAAAAGAATGAATAGAAATGTAGAACAAATGTTATTTAAAGACATAAAAAGTGTCGAATATACTGAAATAAAATTCTACACAATAAAGGAATAAAAAGAGAAGAAAGAAAGAAATTTATGAAGAAATAAGAAGTGAAAACAATGAGAAATTTTAGCGCCACTAAGAAAAAAACCGCACTGAAGAGATGAATCAACATGACAAAAAAAAAGCAACGCTTTTATACACAAGATAAAATCGTTACTTAAATTCAGTGACTTGACCCAAAGAGTTGTGAGTTCAATACCTGCCTACAGCTGAGGTGAACAAAAAAAAATCTTGAAGAGTTGAGTTAAAAGGGAGATAACTGATGCTGAGACACCGGGAAGAGGCATGGCGTGTGGAACTAGAACAATCTACCCAGGTGGACGAAATAAAGGGTTCAGTTCGAAATTCTAATCACCTGAAGAAGACCGGGGCGTACAACGGCCGAAACGTCGTGAATGTGGCAGTTGAGATGGGGACAACGGTCCGAACTATGTAAATAGGGTAAACAATTACAATATAGACAGAAAAAAAAAAAAAGGAATATAGAGAAAGGTGGAAAACTGTTTAAAATATGAAGAGAGGAAAAAAAAATGCAGCCGAAAAAAGCAAATTTGAAAGAAATATGTAAGAATCTTCAACGCAAAAGAAACGAAGAAAAATAATGAAAGAAACGCTATGGCGACATAAAGAACTTGCCAATTTATGGCAGCCTAGAAGAATAGGCAAAGAAAAAAATATGAAAATAAACCATTATAAAGTTATAAGACATGAAGAATACAAGGAATTCTATAAAGCTGTTGGGAAAACGATTTCCAATTTTAGAATAGACCTTTTAATTGTGTTTTAATATATTCTTATAATAGTTGCACAAACAGTCATTCCTAATAATTAAATCGTCCTCTTTGTTAATATTTATATCAATGGCTTTCAGAATTTTCGTCCGAAATACATGACGCCACCACCTATGTAGACACTGGAAAATAATACTAGGTTGTTTGGAAAATAATGTCCGATTTTAGAATAAAACTTTTGTGTCTTCTAATATCGTATTATAATAGTTGCACAAAACTATATTTCTCATTCCTAATGACTAAAGTATCCTCTTTGTTAATTTTATATCAATCGCTTGTTCTGAAATACGTGACGCTCCCTGTGTAAACACCGGAGAATTATTTTGTTTAGAAAATGATGCCATATTTTAGAATAAATCTTTTGTCTTCTAATACATTCCTATAATAGTTGCAGAAAAATATATTACTCATTCCTAATGATAAAAGTGTCCTCTTTGTTAATTTTATATCAATCGCGTGTTTTCAAATACGTGACGTACCCTGTTTATACAGCGGAAAATTAGCTTGTTTAGAAATTAAGGTCATATTTTAGAATCTTTTAATTGTGTTCTAATATATTCCTATAATAGTTGCATAAAAATATATTATTCATTCCTAATGACTAATGTTTCTTCTTTGTTAATTTTATATCAATCGCTTTCAGAATTTAACTTAAAACATTATGTACCGCTCATCTTGACAATGAAAAAAAAAGAAAAATATGTTTACTTTTTTCATGAGTTCAACCTTGGTCATAATACTTCTCAAACTGCTGCCAATATTAACAGAGTAAGGGATGAAGGATCCACTTGTGATTGGATAGTACAGTTTTGAGAGTTCCGCAGTGGGGATATGTGTCTTGAAGATCAATGTGGTAGAAGACGTCCATCTGCAATCGACAATCAGCAGTTGACAACACTAGTCGAACAAAATCCGCGTCAAAGTGCCAGAGAAATGTCTCAGATAATGTGTGTCAGTATTTCGACAATATCGGCTCATCTCTAGGGAATTGGCAAGGTGAAGAAACTCGATAAATGGGTTCTACATGAAATCAGGGAAAGTCAAAGAATTCGACGTTTGGAAGTGTGTTCGATGCTGCATCTGTGGAATTCGAATGATCGCATAGAGACTTGTGATGACAAATGGATCCTTTATGACAATCGTAAGCGATTGGCTCAATGGCTTCACCATAACGAAGCATGCATTTTCAAAAAATAACGAAATTTCACCAACAGAAGAATGGTCAGCCATGAAAGATTTCTGAAATCTAACCAGAGTATCACTGCCGAAGTTTACAGCCAGCATCTGAATGAAATGCACTTTTAGTTAACCAAAAGGTAAACGGCACTGATTAA